GAAAATTAATTCCAGCTAAAGTAAAGTATATTCTACAGTACTTTTTATTTAGACACTAAAGACGATATCTGAAAAAGTATCTAATTGTAACACCTAAATGGCACTCATTTTTACAGGAAGTTACAACAGAGATTAAGTAAGATCACAGTCCCTCTATCCCATACTGTGGTATGGTTGACAAATGCACTCATTTACACAATTGGACAATTTAATTTTCTTTTAATGATTTTTCTTTACTTTCTTTAATGCACATAAAAGCACCAATAAACTATCAATTTTATTTAGTGAGGAGCTTTAAATTTCTTCTATGATGGTGAGTTTGTATTATTTCAGGAGGGGCGAGCACAAATTAAGCGCAGATTCAGATTCATTTGAGATCCACTTTATATACAGCACAGTTGTTGAGGGACAATCACTTTTTTTTTTAAAGTAGGCCCCCCCCCCCATTTCATAATGGAACTTACCAAATATCAAGTTACTTGATTCAAGTCCAGCTTTCTTCAACGCTCTACTGACTTCCTTTATGTCCGTGAACCGGTCAGCAATCGCACGAAATGTAGAGGTGAAACCAGCTCCGAGGTAGTTGGACATAGAACCGCGAGGGAACGGTTCTTGTGTGCTATCTACTTCCGGGTACGGGTATAGGCTGTCATACGAAGGCGGCGGCGTGTGTGATAAGTTATTCCGATTTGTCGTCTGCATTCGACGCTGGTTGAAACTTTGGTTCCACTGTTCGTCTCTCCTTGTCGACTCTTTGCACAAATTACAGATAAGATACGCTCCGATAGCGATAATTACGATGCCTAAAATTTCAGCGGGCATTTTGAAGAGTTTCCTACACGATGGGTGTTACGTTGTACTTGAATGTTCAAATCCCCACTGCGTTTGGGTCTTGAATATAGTTTACGCTGCTAACTAACTAGAAAATAATACGTAAAATAACTACGTTCCCGGCTATGATCATCAAATAGTAAGGACAATAAGCAACATATCATGTAAATACACACGGCGTAAGAAATTCCTCGTTTAAACAGATGGCCACAACTTACTAACCACGCGATCAACTCCGAGGCGTGTCAAGAACTGGTGCCCTGCAACACCGAATATAAATTTACGGACACGATGACGTCATTGTAAATACGCTATAAATAGACTTAACATATTTATTATGTGGGTTATGTTTAACATATTGCAACCTTCATGCGTCATTATAATAAGTATATTTTTATTAAAATGCATACGAATACAAATAATTTAATTTTCACAGTGGTTTATATAAATTTCTTGTTACGCGCAGTGATAAGAAACTGGGGAAGCCCGTAAACAGTCTCACGGTTCCGTAGCCTCGCTGTGAACTTGTTGTCTGTGCGTCTGTTTGAACACATGTCCTTGTGTTGTGACTCATATTGCTGACTTGTATCAAAAGTATTGGCTGTCTTTGACACAGTACCCTCATACACTACTCTGCTAATATGGGTGATGCAACTCTGCGGAATCGGGAACAAATGTATAGGATGGTGATCAGGTGAGAATGGGCGGGTATTCGGCTTCCTCCAGCTGTTTATGATCAATCGCGTATGGCAGTCGTGTCATCGCGTCGCCATTATTATTGTGCATTGAACACTGTTCCCGTATGTCTTATGTGTACAATGCACAAAGCGATATGCAAAATCAGAAATAAATACTAGTAGGTAGCTGAGATTCAAATAACCGTTAGTACGCCTCATTTTATTTTTGGTAATAATATCTTTTACTTTTGGATTGTTTTTAAATTTTTAATTGCTAATGACTCACCCTAGAACAATAGGCACAGTAAAATATTGTCACACATTGGAGTCAAACTGATTTATGAGTTCAGAAATGTATTTGGTAGGAGTTCTTTGGGGCCCTCTCGCCGGACCGTGCTCTAATCCTAATGCTCCAGTCTACGTCAACCCCGACCCTCCCCACCTCAGGTTTTTTTTGGGGGGGTGGGTATGGAAATTATTGTTGTAAAATTTGCCAAATGCCCCACCTCCTCGGGCAAGAAGGATAGGCAAATCACCACCCAAAACACACACACCCCCACATTTCCCCCACCCTCAACCCTGGGGAACGCCACTGTCCGCCATGCTTGCTATCAGCAGAGTACTCAATGAACGTATACGCATGCGCAGCTAGTGATGACAGGACACGAAACACGGCTACTAGTATTACCCCACCTCCACGGGCACAGTTTGGTGGTAAACCCGTCCATGGAAGGTAGTAACGGAAGGAGCCACAACGCCTATCAAGTAGCCACTTAAGCCTCTTAACTGGTTTATTTCCTTTTGTTTCAACCCAAATTAATCCTGATAAAGACATTGTCTAACTCATCTTTGATGTCGATGATAGTTTGCGATTGTTTACACAAATAACGAGTTAGCGGAGTATGATATAACCTTGCCGATTTTTAATGTGACCATAAAATATATGCGCATTATGAAACTACGATCATCACACATGCGCACTGGGTTTGTTTAGGTGTGAAAGGTCAAAATACGTATTTCATGACCGGAAATTCAACAGATGAACGTTTGACTTCACAAATTTCACATGTTTTATTTATTAGCGACTGTAATTATAACAAGATTCCGAATGCATACAACAACAATTCCTAAGGACTCCTACAAAATATCACAGAGAAAGGCATGCTCTTCTTTCGATACTATCTTTTCTGTTGGTGTTCGCCGATGTCCGGTGGTAAAAAATGTTGACAGTTTCGGGCGCCACACCTACGCACTGACAATGGTACCATGGAATAATGCAATCGTCACAAGCAATCATTGATTAAGTCTAATTACCATTACAAATACAAAATTCACGATATTTCATCAGTTCTTCTTCAATCAATGTTATATCTGACAAATTTCCATTAAAGTTCGCCAAGATCTCCGGAAACAACAGCATTCAAACTAGACGTTATTTTCAACATTCTACATGTAAGGTTCGACTATCGCTTCCGAACATGCTTTGAATATTACCGAATGCACGAGATTAGCGTAACCCATTGTACGAAGGTGCTAAAAGCTAACAAGAACAATGTTTGTGAACAAACATTGACAAACGACCATGGGGTAAAGCTAAAACAATAGCGTTGTGGCTCCTTCCATTACTACCTTCCATGACCCGTCTAATGCCCAACATTTGTCTTGTATTTTCCGAGGTGGGAGGGGTCGGGGTTGACATTGACTGGAGCATAACCCTTCCCCTCCAGTACCCCTCCTTTATTTCAATTCTATATACCCCTCTTTGGATCACTTATATTAAAATTACATTGGGGAGCTGGAGTGTTCGGGTTCAGGTTAGGGTGAGGGGGTCTTAAGGAACTCTTTCCATGTATTTCTAGTAAGGCTGGGAAGCGCTGTTGGCTGGTTCCCGCCTCAAGTGTCATGGCGTACCAAGCTACAAGAGGCCGGTAACTAGTAACGGTTCCGGCATTCTGATTGGTCCGTCACTTTCTCGTTGCTTGTTCTATTTCCCTTGGTTACCTGACGGCAGCGCTTACGCTCGTGGCCGTTCAGGGGTTTCCTTTTACTTTCAAAAGTTGGGTGAATAAAAAACTGTTTCTTTTGTTATAAATTTTCACAGAAACAGCGAGGAATGTCAGAAACATCTCAAATGTGTAAATCTAAGCAGGTAGTATGTTTGAGCATGGCTTTATTGTAGTATTATAGACATGTTTACGCAGAACAAAACATGGAATGTTTTCAAATTACGTCACTCAGTCACGTGCCTTCCGGCCGGAAAACCAGCCCAAATGGAACAATATGGCGATTACTAGTTACCTGCGTCCTACCTGCCATTCGCAAAGGACGCCGGAACCAGCGAAGGAAGAATGGTGGCATGTAAATTTGTTAAAGGAATACAAACAAAAGTTATTGAATATTCCAACACAGGGGGCGCCATTTACTATGTTCTTAAGGAAGAAGCCTACTCGTAATTTTTTAGAAAGTTGGTCATTAATCACTTGACAATGTTCATTGGTTTATTGTGTACAATCATGAAGCTAGTGTCCCATGGCACAATGAAATAACATTGAGATCATAATGATCTGTTTGTCTTTCATTTGTTTTTTGAGTACATGTACATGTATCACTATGTTCAAACTTTCACGTATTAAAAATACAAGAATATTCAAATATTCAAATTTGCCTGTGACAGAGACTTATTCAGCCAATGATTGGAGAATGAAAGCAGTAGCGTCTTTGGAAGTGCAAATTCTACTGTGCTGTGCTACTGTTCTGTGGTTAGACTTCACTGATATTGTTCTATTAATTGCTATACACACATCAAAACATTAACATTTCTCATCGTTGTAACTATACTACGTTATCGCCACAAAAAAAAAATATATATGACCAAGCATGACACGTACTTGTTTGAAATTATAGCTTGCCTGGAAACGTGCACATGTGCAATGATTGTTATTGTTTGTAGCAAAACCATCAGTGTACATGCGTATTAAAGAATTTCATTGTTTCATCTACCAGTAACGAATTCTCAGATGTGTCCAATGTATTTATTAACATGCCGTATCAAACAACAATACTAAAGATTACTCGTTCTTGTCCTTACTGCACCTTTACCCCTTTGAGTGCCTTTCTGCTAATTTATAGTCTGCTCTTTTTTGTGTGAAATTTTGTGAAAATTTCAACTTTTTTGATCAATATTGTAATATTTTGTCTGTTTAGTCTAAAATTAAGAATGAATTCAGTGAAAATGATAGAAAGTGAACAAATTTGAGCGGGGAAAAAAAACTTAATTAATGTTAATGTAGACTATTCAATGCTATCATGTCATCAACTCATTCTGTTTTTCTTTTCTGTTTTACTTGCAGTCAGCTGTTATATGATGGTTATGAAACACTGGCTGTAAATCTTGGTAAAACAGTGAATACAAGTCTGGATTGTCCACCTTCTAATAAACTAATGAGAATAACACAGCTTGGATTGCAATTAGATTCTGAACGTGAGTGTACTGATACAATGACAACTTCAAGATTTGTTAATTAAATGTTTTTTTATTTTTTATTCTCAAGATATTCAACATTTCACCTTTATTTAGTTCACCAACTGTGATGTCATACTTTACCCATCAATCTTTCCTTGGAAATCAAGATGGGGGAGTCCAGGGTTTGCATTAGTGTCTCAGCAAGACGAGTCCCACTTACAAAATTTTAAGAAATTGAAAGTTTACCCTGAATAACTTTATTAGAGATTGGATCCCAGCTTTCCTGAAAAACTGGGTCCCTCTTCAATAATTGGAGTCCGGGAAGCAAAATATGGGGTTAACGAAATCCCTGGTGACTATATTGTAATGATGAGAAGTTGAATATCTAGAGAATGAAAAGTTACATAAAAATACTGTAAATTGCATTTTCCTAGATTTGTAGAGCTTTTTCATCTGAGAGTATTACTGTAGAATACTTTATTTTCACTTGGAATTTATTTTCGCTATTTTCGCTGAAGGGATGAATCTGTGAAAATAAAATCCAGCGAATATACATTTTTTCCTATATTTCACATTAAGCTCATCAAAAATCAGTGAAAATAAATTCCATACAAAACGTCCAAAAAGCCTTTTCAGCGAAAATTAATTCCAGCGAAAATAAAGTATTCCACAGTATGTCTCTTTTTGAATAAGTGACCTGTACATAATGGTATATATACAACCTGTCTATTGTGACCACAAAAGCTGAAATGATGAAGGATAATCTCACTTTGAGTGTTCTAAACTAGTCTCTATGATGACATTTTTAGTTTAATCAAAACAAACATATTTTCATTTGTTCTCCATCTTCAACATCTGTTGAAAAATTGCCTTTTAAATTGAAAAACTGTAGTCATATTTTTATTGATAAATTTAATAACTAATGGTAAATGCCACATAAAAGGACAATTTCTTTAAATACCTTTATATAATAGGGTGTTCACTTTACACAAATTCGACTTTATATTTCTTCAACTACTCAGTCTTGATATATCTTTAAAGTCTTCATTTTCTCCCATTTATCATTAGATCAAGAGACTCGCAGTGTAATAGATACAGTTGCCCCAGGTATCGGGATTGATTTGGAATTTGATACAGATGGTAAGTGGTGATAACGTGCAATAATGTTGTTGATCTAAGGGGTTAAGTAAATACATTTATTATCACTATTTGATGATTTGAAGGTATCAGATGAAATTACACAAAAGTCACTAACAGATTGTGAATTTGTCTATTTTTGTGGCATGTTATAAAAATTTATAAAATAATTGCTAATTAACATGCACAGAATTATTTTGTGGAAGGGTACAAACATTTTTAAAACAATGGAAGTGAAAGGGTTGATGATATGTAAATTACCTAATTAATATGCACTGAAATATTTTGTAGAAGGTGAATAAAATTTATAAAACAGTGGTCATGAAAGAATTGATATGCAAATGACCTAATTAATATGCAGTAAAATATTTTGTTGAAGGTGAATAAAATTTATAAAACAATGGTCATAAAAGAATTGATATGCAAATGCCTACCCGGTAATTAATATGCAGTGAAATATTTTGTGTAAGGTTAACAAAATTCATAAAACAATGGTCATGAAAGAATTGATATGCAAATGACCAAATCAATATACAGTGAAATATTTTGTTGCAGGTGAATAAAATTTATAAAACAGTGGTCATGAAAGAATTGATATGCAAATGACCTAATTAATATGCAGTAAAATATTTTGTTGAAGGTGAATAAAATTTATAAAACAATGATAATGAAAGAATTGATATGCAAATGACCAAATCAATATACAGTGAAATATTTTGTTGAAGGTGAATAAAATTTATAAAACAATGGTCATGAAAGAATTGATATGCAAATGACCTAATTAATATGCAGTGAAATATTTTGTGTGAGGTTAACAAAATTCATAAAACAATGGGCATAAAAGGATTGATATGCAAATGACCTAATTAATATGCAGTAAAATATTTTGTGTGAGGTTGACAAAATTCATAAAACAATGGGCATAAAAGGATTGATATGCAAATGACCTAATTATTATACAGTGAAATATTTTGTTGAAGGTGAATAAAATTTATAAAACAATGGTCATGAAAGAATTGATATGCAAATGACCTAATCAATATACAGTGAAATATTTTGTTGAAGGTGAATAAAATTTATAAAACAATGGTCATGAAAGAATTGATATGCAAATGACCTAATTAATATGCAGTAAAATATTTTGTGTGAGGTTGACAAAATTCATAAAACAATGGGCATAAAAGAATTGATATGCAAATGACCTAATTAATATACACTGAAATATTTTGTGTAAGGTTTACCAAATTTATAAAACAATGGTTTAACTATGATTCTCTTTATTTTACTGTTACAGTGCAAACAATAGCTCCAGAAGCTGCTCTGTATGAGACGTGCTATGTGACAGCACATAAGGGGCCTTGTAGGGCAGCTGCATGGAACAGAGATGGTAAGAAAGTATGCATGGAATCCTATATAGTAGACTCATTATTTTCACTGTAAAACAGATATTAAGCCAAAGTACCTCCAGTGGAAATAAATTTGTTCCCATATTTTGTATGGCATTCATCAGGAATCTGTGAAATAAAATATACAACACTGCACAGTTCATCAAATAAAAATTGGCGATTTTCTGATGTTTTAAGATGCAACTGAATCTGTTGTAAATTGTTCTTGTATGTTTTTTATAAGAACTGAAATTTTGCGTCATGCAGTATGTTGTAATGTTATAGTGAAAATAACCAAGCAAAGACGAGTTATTCCACATAAATATGCTAGAGGGCGCTATAACTCTATAACTATAGGAAGATCATAAAAGTAACATTTTGGAAAATAAAAATGAGCATAACATTTTGTTTATCATTAATCATTTGCTGATAATACATTTACCAAATTTGTTTGAAATATTGCTATTGTTTCATACATGCACACTTAATGGAACTAATACAGTTTACGACATATCGTTTATGATTTTTTGCTGAATGAAATGAAACTTTTAATTCATCAGGTAATCTAGTCGCTACCGGTTCTGATGATGCTTCTATTAAAGTATTGGATGTAGAGAGAATGCTTGCGAAGAGTGCTACACCGGCGGCCATTTTAGCCAGCGAGACTGCCCAACAAAACATGGAGAACCACCCGGTTATTCGAACTCTGTATGACCACATTGAGGTAAGAATAAAGCTGTTTGACATTCCTGTGTCGTTTGTCCATATATGTCACTTTTGAACCAAGTTGCACAATTTTTCTGTGATGATGTGCCCTAACAATGAGAGGCTTTTCATTCACATGATCTATGTAAGAACACTCGGACACTTCGACATAGCGCTGGTTTTGAATGAAGTCAGAACATCAGTATGTGTAATGGAATATAACTACTGTACTCGACATCGATTACCGGTATTCGTTAAGCAATGATCAAAGACCAAGTTTTAAATTAGTGGCATTTTGAAGGGGTGGGCGCTTTGACAAATGTAACCCTGAATATAAAAATTGCGCAAAAGTAGGGGTGGGCGCTTGACCGCGGGCATGGATGCTAATATGGTCGAGTACGGTAAATATTCCTGAGATTGTTTAATTCAGACAAGAAGTAAATACGATGAATTCAAGGATACAGTAACATGTAAGGGGGTGACATTTGCAATATTTTTAGCGGATGACATTTTACTTCTTTCTTTTACGGCATCTTATATCATAAATCATCCAATTATTAATCCCTTCCCCAAAGAAAATCACATATTCATATCCTAAAATATAGAGCTCTATGAATGAACTCGGAGGGCAACTATCAAGACTTGGGTATGGCTTATAATATACACTAAACAATCCATTTAAGCTGTTATAAATATCTCCTATCACGCTCCATCGCTTTTCATCGTCTATTACATGACTAACAACATAGCACCAAAATGTAACTATGAGCTACAGACTATAACTACAGTGATTTTAGAATACAAGTAGGAATATAAATTATGTGTGTGTGAACAATTTATCCACAAAATGTCAAATGTTCAAACCTGAAATAGATATACACCATCAATGAACAATGAATAACTGCTCAGTGTAAATGTACATGGGGCAAAATTGTTGCTTTATTTTCACTATTTTCGGCAAAGGAATGAATCTGTGAAAATAAAATACCAAGGGAAAATACCTTTTTTTCTATATTTTGAAATTAATTTCTTTGAAAATCAGTGAAAATAAACTTCTTACAAAGTATCTTTTTAGCAAAAATTAATCCTAGCTATTAAAAAGCTATTTTACAGTTACTGTAATAGTTTTGCTTCATCACAATGTTTCTATTTTTCAGGAAGTCACTTGTTTGGATTTCCATCCCAGTATTCAGATTTTAGCATCAGGAAGTAAAGATTACTCCGTCAAATTGTTTGATTTCTCCAAACCATCTGTCAAGCGAGCGTTTAAAAGTATACAGGTGAGATAAGATCAGTAACTGGGGCAACAACATTTTATTTGCATCTTGAGGCATCGCCTTCAGCAAAATTTGATCTTGATATTTTCTTTTTGAAGAAGAAGAAGAACTCTCGCTTTGTCATTCAATAAACTGACACAACTGATTGTTATTAACTTGAGATCTCCATGAGATCTGTCCTGTTAGGGGGCGCACTGTTGGTACCATTAGTATTTGTGTAAGTACCACAGTTGTTGCACCACGTCATGTTCAATGTGAGTCCCATGTTGGCATGTGATTGTATGCAAATTACATTGTTCTTGCATGAAATTCAAACGTACACGTTGTACCACATTCAGAATAATTTATCATTGGTTCCTAGCCCCAAATGTAGCACCTGACAATGAAAACCAACCTTCCAGTGACCAGATCAGAGGGATTGTTGAGTCCATCAGCACTGTATATTTTGTAGTAACTGTGTTTATTAGTCCCCGTTCGGACGAAGTCCAAAAACGGGGACTTATAATTCGGTCTCCGTCTGTCCGTGCGTCCGTCCGGAGTCATATCTAAGAATCCCTTGGACCGATTCTGTTCATTCTTTGCATGTGCCTTGTACCTTATGTGGGACATATGCACATGCAGTGGTTTAGCGATTTGATTCAAAATGGCCAACTGGCAGCCATCTTGTTTTTTTGAAAATGTTGTATT